ACAACAAACTGTCAGACATCAAACATCCTGGAGTGGATCTGCAGGCGCAGCGTCATTATCGGAGCATCACTCCTCACCACCTCAGCTGTACAACAACCACTTGTCTCTTACAGAAACAAACACACACTTGTTCACCTCCAGACTGAACACACACACACCTTATATGCTTTAAGAAGAAGCTAATGAGCCGAGCCTGGCTCAGGTGGGGATAGTTGTAAGGGGCGGGGAGYCCTTGTTACTGTAGAGATAGTTTCCCCCGATCCCTCCGGCGGGTTCCTGTGTAATTCTCCGCGACAGGTCTACCTCCAGCGCCCCGTCTGACCTCGGATGGGAGCTGCGTCTTTCCTTTACCCCATCGCTGCAGCTGGTGTCTCAGGTTGGCTCGCATCATCCATATTTAATGTTGCAGCAGCCGTCCTATCGAGCCACAGGCCATAGCTTAGCTCGGCTCGGCTTTAGAGGAATAGTCTTGCATAAATACATGCTGGGTATACAAACCCCAGCAGACTCCTGGTTAAACTGGGCCAACCCAAACAAAACATTATCTCAGTGAACAGGAACCACGGTGAATATAGTTACTGTAGCTAGATATTACAGCTCATACGACAACACACAAATAACAAACAGTCCTTGTTTTCACTTAGTGTGAGCGTGTAGAAAAAAGTGATTTTGGCTGATTTGCGATTTTGATTACTTGTTGCATTTAGTTGGTTACGATTAATAAATGATACTTGAATGTTTTCGACTCTAAATCAGTTAAACTGTGCTCCAAAGTTCAAACTTCTTCATTCAGCCATTTCCCTACAGTATCTCTTTCCAGTGCTTACCTTGACTCTCATAGGGGACAGACTGACTGTATTTATTGTGGATTCTATGCTGAGTAGATTTGTTTTCACCGTTCACTGGAGCAGAGTTACACAGTGCACATTTTCTYTCTTATATTCTGGTTTATGGTGGTGTTTCAGGTGATTAAACAAGTTTGCAGTGTTAGCATTAGTCTTAGCTCTGTGTAAACGTTAGCTCCACAATAGTGTTAAAGTTAGCACTGCGTTYGTGTTWGTTCTAAGTTAATGTTAGCTCAGCYTTAACACTAGCTCCACATTAGTGTTAGGGTCAGCTCTGCATAAGCATTAGCTTTGAGTTAACAGTAGCTTGTCATCAGCATTGATGTTAGCTCCACATTTGTATTAACATTAGCCCTGAATTAATGTTAGCTTTGAGCTAATGTTAGCCTGACGTCAGCATTGATTTTAGCTCTATATTAGTGTCAGATCTGAGTTAACAGTAGCCTAGCATCCGCGTTGTTGGTGTTAGCGCCATGTTAATGTTAACATTAGCTCTACATTAGTGTTAGCTCCATGTTAACAAAAGCTTGACATTAGCATTGATTTTAGCTCCATGTTAATGTTAACATTAGGTGTAAGTTAGCGTTAGCTCCATGTTAACATAAGCTCGACATTAGCATTGATTTTAGCTCCATGTTAATGTTAACATTAGCTCTACGTCAGTGTTAGATCCATGTTAACGTAAGCTAGACATTAGCATTGATTTTAGCTCCATGTTAATYTTAACATTAGCTGGAAGTTAGCGTTAGCTTATCCAAGTGAAGCAGTTAAGATGTCACGGTTCTCAGCTCTGGTGTTTTGATGCTGTACRGACCCGACCCAGGAGGCAAAACCACCAATTTATTCATCTTTTAACAGTTTAGTCTTCGTGGCCATGAGCTCTGGTTATGCCTTTTTAAAATAGCCAAAATTTATTGGAATCTTAAGCAAGATGAGACATTTTGTTTATAAATCTTGTTTTTTAATCTTATATTTAATTTATCCTTGTCTCACCTATTTAATATTGTTTGGGGAGCTACATTTCCAACTCGTCTAAACAAAATATTTATTTTACAGAAAAAGTTTCTAAGAATAGTTACCTTCTTGAAATTTGATACCCCAAGTGCACCTTTATTCTATAAATTAAAACCGTTGAATATTTTTGATATAAACATATTTCGTACGTGTAAATTTGTGTTCAGAGTTCTGTATGATATAAATTGGCCTTCCTATGTTAAAAACTATTTTCATATAAACTCACAAATTCATAATTATCCCACTAGGCAAACTCTTAATTTGCAACTTCCATTATACAAATGAAACAAAGCGTGACCAATTCTCTGTCAGGTTTTATGSAGCTAAAATGTGGAATTCGAATATTGAACTTGTGGAACCTTCAGTATCTCTCTGTAAAAATAGATTAAAAACCAAACTGTTGATTTTGAAATGGGAAATTTGAGTGATTTTAAATTCAAGTAGATTTTTCTTATTTTTGTGTTTTGATGGATTTTAAATCCTATTTTGATGTTGATTTTTGTATTGATATTGTTTTTTTTTTTTCTTGATTTTTATTTGAGTGGCTATTTTTATTTTATGGTTGTTTTTTTTTTACTGTTGTGTTGTAGTCTGATTTGATTGGGAGTGGTTTCTACACAAGCCTATTCAGGATTTTACCATTCCCTTGCACGTGAAATATCTCATTTTGAATTGTTGTTGCATTATTTTTGTTTTACTTTTTGTGCGTTAAATAAAATCAAATCAAAAATGAAGTTGCAAATACTAGAAACTAAAAGTGGCTGGTCTGAAAACTGTTTAATAAATTTAAGTGCTAAAAATGTGGCTGTTGCATGATTTATCTCTGTTAAGGGGTTACAGTAAGGAGTRTGGACATGACTTGGATGTAAACCAGGAGAAATTACAGCTCACAGCTGGCCTGGAAGCACCTTCAAGCTCACCTGGATGAGCTGGAGCCAGGGTTATCATAGTTAACTAAAATTAACTAAATAAAGAAAACTGAAATTGAAAAAAAAACAACCATTTTAGTTAACTGAAATAAATAAAAACTAATAAAATGAAAAAAACGATAACTACTGTATTTATTCATGTATAATACTAGAAATTTAACCCTAAAAATCATCCATAAAGTAGGGTCCTATCACACACGGGTTATTGGTGATTAGATTTTTTATGCTTTTTAAGCTTAAAAATGATGATCGTATTATACTTGAGATTGTATTGTACATGAATAAATATGGTAACTAAAACTGTATAATGTTTTTACAAAACTAACTAAAACTAAATGAAATAGATGGAATATTCTTAGTTTTAGTGTTTGTCAATTTATTTGGAGCAGAGGCTGATTTAACTAATCTTTGTTTTTTCCTTTAAATGAAGCAGTTTCARATTAACTGTGGGCAGCTTACGGCACATCATGGTCCGTAAAACTCAGAACACTTCAAGCTGGATGTTGTATTGGCAAAAATGTTTATTCAAACTACAAAAAAAAACTAATACTAGAACTAATAAAAACTAAACTAAAACTAAGCATTAAAAACAGCAATAGTAACTAGACATGGGTTTTTATGATGTAAAAACAAGTGTGCATTGCCATGTAGCATGTCACTGCAGCATGGCTTTGCCTGCAGCAATGGASRTGCAGAATGAACTGTGCCCAAGTTCAAATGTGTTTTCTATACCAGCCTGTCAAGTCAGCAGGTGTTTGTAATGAGGATAATTGTGTGACTATATGAACTTTGGAGAAATTTTTTTGTTAAAGTTGCAGTAGCTGGGATTGAACCATGATCTCCCACATGAAAGCCCATAGTGTTAACCATGAGATTATAGGAGCTGTAGCCGTAGGTACTCCTAGGGGTAGGTTTGTATGTGTGCAGAAAGAGGCAACATTGCCAATGCAATCGTTGACACTAAACTGCAATATATTACAGCAATAGAGCAATATTTGGACAATATTATGGTAAAACATCAAAATACAATCATATTAGTATTGTAAACACGGAGCTATTGAGATTAAATATTAATAAACTATGGTGCAATACTGAGTAGATACAGCAGGGGCAGTATTGGACAAATACAAGGCTCCATTGACTTCCATTATATGATTTTAAACATTAATGGTTAAAAAACAATAAGTTGTACAGGCACCAAAAGGCATAGCCATCATTTGGAAAGGGAGCTTTACAGATATAAATTACAATGGCAGCTCTAGGGCATAGTTTGCAGGAAAAGAAGCGTGCCAAAGTGGAGATGACTTGGATGGGAAAGAATCACAATAGTGTGCATTGCATTGGCAATGCACACTGACTAAAAAAAACTAGCAAATCCATGCTAAAAACTAATAAAAACTAACTGAATTAAAAGAAAAAATGGCACAAGTAAATAAAACTAAACTATAATGACAAATCCTAAACTATTATAACCTTTGCTGGAGCTGCTCCTGGGGATATTGGGTTAAATTGTTGCCGTCAGGTCTGTCGCAGCTTTTTTTGATTTAGATTTTAGCTGCAAAGAAAGCTCATTTTTAAAGAGAGAAGTGATTCTGTTCTTAATGAGATTCACAGTTCGTGCCTGTTGGAGACACGTATAAATCATGAGGTGAACACAGGAATGCTTCGTTGCTGTGATACCTGCATATTTTATGAAACTCATATATTGGGTCCTAATAAAACCACACGGCTTTCCCTCTCCCTGCCAGAGCTCCCCTCTCCGTTCAGGGAAAGGCTCGATCCTATCAGCTTTTGAAGAGACTTCCAAGGACGCTCCCCCTGTCTCTGTGTTTTCAAAGTTCGGACTCGTAGATGCTGTCAAAACATGTTGGTCCGTGCCGTCGAGTCGCTTGATTTCACTTCCTCCTGGGTTCTGTGGCCTCCTCTGACAGCAGCGCGTTCCCCTCCACAAGCGTGAGTCAGTGAAGCGTCCTTTAAACGTCTCTTTTTAGAGCTCGTCTCGCCGCTGTCGGCTGATCCGAGTCGACCTGGAGATGCGGACCCTTTGCGCTGTCTCCTCCGCTCGCMGTGATGTCCGTGACTTCTAGTCGTCGTCTGAGACGACACGCGACAGGATGACCACTTAACATGATTTTTGTTCCTGTCCTTCTCCACAACAGTCCATCCCTGACCTTTTACCCTTCCTGTTTGTATCTTTTGTTCTGTTTTTCAGGGTTAGAAACCGGCGGCGTGACGCTGAAGGAGCCCGCTTCCGAAGAGGAGATCGAGAGTTCTTCTGCGGTCACGCTGCGCTGTCACATCGACGGACACCCTCGGTGAGTGGCGTGCCCTCCGAGTTTGTTGAGCTAAAGATATTAAAGTTTTTGTTCTCCTCTTACCGCTCATGTCTCGTTCGTACATCTCCTCCTCAGACCAACCTGTCAGTGGTTTAAAGACGGAGTGAAGCTGACAGAAACCAGCCATCAGATCAACAACAAGGAGAGGACCCTCGGGATCGCGAGCGCCACTCCGGACGACAACGGCCTTTACTACTGCTGCGCCAGGAACGCAGCAGGACACGTGTGCAGCAGCAGCAACATCACTCTTAACATCATAGGTGTGTTTAATAAACAGACTTCTGCGTCATTTACAGAGGAAGGATTCACTACAATGATCCGGTTTCTCTTTATTCTCTGTTGTTTTTCTTCTGCACTTGTGTAACGTGGATCTTCTACTGTTTAAAGTGCCTGTGATGTCAAATTTTTGTCATAGATTTGAATTCATTTTTATAAAGATAACATTGATAACATATTGCAAAACAAATTTCACGCCGCTGAGATGAACAGTTGTTGAGATATTTGCATGTAAAGCAACAGGAAGTGATGTCAAAGGGGAATGTCTGCATGTGAGCAGAGCACTGATAAAAATGTCTGAAAACACAGACTGTAGAGAAGAATCTGATGTTTTTTTAGATCATTCTGAGTCACTATCAGAGATGAAGAAGAGTCAAAGTTCAAATAATGTTTGAATAAACAAAGATGAGAGTGAGAGGGTTTTCTTTCTTAGAGTTCCCCTTTGATGTCACTTCCTGTTTCCTTTTGGCGGAGCTAAATCCAAAAGAAAATATGCTGATTATGTAACAAAATGGGTAAAATCATGTGTATTACGCCAAGTTTCTTAAATATAATAATGATTTCTTCGACTTTTTGTATTTAAAGGATTTGCACGTCACAGGCTCTTTAACCTTTTAAATGTCAAAATATTTATTTTGTTTTTTAGTTTATTCATTCCAGTTCAGACTTTTGATTTTTATAATTTTATATAAACGCAGATTTTTTTTTTAATCAGCTTCAGCTACTGCCTCTGTTTTTGTCTTCTTATGCAGTTGTTAGCTTTTAGCTAGTGTTTTATTACAATTAGCTTTAAATTGTTTTTTGCCTCTTCATCATTTTGTGTTTAGCTAAATTTTGCTAGTGTTTTACAGGTTTAGCTTTTAGCTAGTCTTTTGCCACTTTCAGCCTTTAGTGATCTGTTAATTTTAGCCAGTGTTTTTTTACTTAAACATTTTGATAACCTTTTGCTACTTTATATTTTAGGTGGCATTTGATGCTGTTAGCTTTAAGATAGCATATRGCTAATTGTGCCTGTTAATGATTGTGTCAGTCTTTTGCTTTTGTAAAATATTTTATTTATTGTTTTCTTACTTTTAGCTGGAGTTTTACTTCTGTCAACCTTTAAAGACTCATTCATGTTTTGCTCTCTTTAGCTTTTACCCAGGGTTTTGCTACTTTCAGTGTTCGTTACAGTTAGCATTTAAGTTGTTTTTTGCTACTTTGGCTTTTTGTGTGTTACTACTTTTTACTAGTGTTTTATCGGGTTAGCTTTTAGCTAGTCTTTTGTCTTTTAGATACTTTTAGCTAATGCTTTTTTACATTAAGCTTTCAGCAAGGCTCTGGCTAATTACAGCCTTTAGTGTTTTGTTACTTTTAGCTGGTGTGATTAGTTTGACTGGTTTTTCACTGTTTGTCAGTCGTACCTGTTAGTGATTGRTTCTTCTATTTGCATTTTGCTGCTTTTATTTAGCKTTTTCTTWCATTTCTTTCATTTAGCCAGAGTTCTATCTTTTAACTAGTGTTCTGCTAGTTGTATTTATAAGCTAATGTTAGCTAATTTATGTGAGTGTTTTACTGCTTTTAGTTTTAGCTAGCATTTAACTGCTTTCAACCATTTATTACCCATTTGTGTTTTGCTCTCCTTAGCTTTTAGCCATAGTTTAGCTGCTTTTAGCTAGTGTTTTGTAACCATTTGTTAAATGGTCTTTTGCTACTTTAGCTTTTTGCGTTTCGCTACTTTTTGCTAGTGTTTGATTGGTTTATCTTTTAGTTAGTCTTTTGCTACATTTAGGTTTTAAGTAGCCTCCTGCTAATTTTAGCGTATAGTGTTCTGCTAATGTGATATTATTTTGGCTAGGGTTTTAGTTATTGAGGTAGCATTTATTGTACTTTTAGCTTTAATATAGCATTTTGCTAGTTATACCTGTTAGCTAGTGYTAGCTAGTGCGTTTTGCTGCTTTATTTGTTGTTTTTTTTACTTTTGGTCAGAATTTTMCTGCTTTTAGTGTTGCTCTAGTTTAATGTTTGAGCTAATGTTAGCTGACTTGCTGTATGTTGGAGCTTTTAGTTAGTGTTTTGTTTCTTTTAGCTTTAACAACTCAGTTTTAGCTCCGTCAGTAAATTTCTTTTTCATTTTCACAGAAACGTCAGTTTCTCAAATTGTTATTGCTTTGAAATCCTGCAAAACTGCGAAAACCACAAGATTATAAAAATGATTGTTTTATCATTATGATTGTTGCTTGAGTTAATCCTTTAAACAGAAACCAGTTATTGCTTTTCTGTCAGTAATTARTGTTAAAACGCCTGCAGGTGAAATTCAGCCGCTCCATCTCAGGATGCTGTTCATCCCTCGGATCTGTTTAAATAGGATTTTATTAAAGAAAATCTGTAGATTTGGGCGACAGSTGAATTAGAGCTTCTTTTTGTTAACACCTCCTGGTAATGACACGACTTGTCAATTCTTGTTTTTTTTGACACCTACCACCTACCCTACACCAGGATTAGATGTGTTTTCATGTTGTGAGTTTAATACTGGACCAAATCTCTCCTTTTGGCAGGTCAGAACACCTCAGTTTTTCTTTACTTTTATTTTTTTAAATGGGTACAGATTTATTTTTGGGAGCATTAAAATGGCCTTCTTTATTAAAAACACAAAATAATCATATTCAACACATCATGTTTGTTTTGTTTTCATATTTTATTTAATAATGTTTGAGGGGACAGTTGATCTGTGGGTGATTCTGTGACCCACAGGGAGATAATGGTCCAGACAAGCTGTGGGGGTCTGGTCCCTGACCTCATTAAGTCTACCCCCCCGGGGTTCACTGGAGTGTTGACACTCACAGTCAGCCCGGTGTCGCTGTAGGCAGCTGTTAATAAAGTCCGTCCCCACAGGTGCAGCAGGGACCTAAATGTCCTCACGCAGGTGTGCTCCTGTCCGCAGATAAGAGCGTCCCGCGGCCGGTGGTCACCCCCGAGGACCAGGTGGTGCTGAGGAACGGCGAGGCGGCGCTGCACTGCCGCTTCACGGCGGAACCGGAGCCCACGGTGGAGTGGTACCACGAGAACGAGCTGCTGATTAACAAGTCCCGGTGAGCGCTCCAATCATCCCGTCAYTCAAACCTCTGCCTTCATAAACTCCACTCTTATCGGCTCATCGTCCTGCTGTCACGTCTTCTCAAACCTTTCAAACACTTTCAGAAACATCCTCCTCCAACAGCTTCAGACCTCCTGAGGTGAAGTTTTCATTTAGCCTCTCYACGTTCTGTCTGATGTTTCAGCTCCTGTTGGAGCCTCAGAATTGACAGATGTGTTTTGAAGTGATTTGGTTGAATTCTGAGTCGTGAGGCTACAGTTTGAGAGGCTGTTTTTTGGGGGGTGGGGTTCGTAGCCCACTTCCACCCACAATTTATGCAGGAYTCTACATATTAAACAGGATCTTAAAAAGTCTAAAATTTGAAAATCAAAATTTTAGGCCTAAAAAAAGTCTTAAAAACGGCCAGATTTTCATCTAAGGTTTTACATTTAATTTAGTCAAGTCTTAACTTTTTTACTTTCGATCATTCCCAACAAGCGTTGGCTGCATAAATAAAGCTCTGTAATCAGAGGGTGACCCGATCTGTCTTCATGAAGCACTAAGTTTGCTACCAGTCTTTGTACGCATTAAACTACACATCCTGTGATAACTGCAGGCAACAAACGGCACAGTTTGCTTCCATGTTTTCAACCTCTTTGTTGCTACAACCCCCCCCC